AATTTAAATTACGTGTTAAAATATACAATTTATTGTAACTAAGCTGGAAAAATAAATATGAAGGTTCTTTTTAAATTTATTTGGTGCATTTTAAATGTATTAATTTATTTAGTGGTTCATTTATATGTTTCTGCTTTTAATTCTAATTATGTCAGTGTCGGTCCTCCATACTGCAGAACTTGGAAGAGGTAGTTCAGTGACTGAATCAGGTGTGATGGAGCAGGGAAAAATGTAAAACATGTAGGACTGCGGCCCTCGAGGACCAGGATTGCCCACCCCTGAACTGTTTCTAGTCCTTCTATGGATCCTGCAACACATCACACTTCAATTTAGAATGTTTGCTGAAGGTTCTGGACCAACTGTGAGCAGTAACAAATGGCCAGTCTCAGTAGTAAGTCTCTCAGAGTCCTGTTCCTGCAGCTTTAGACGTTTCTCCGGGTGTGAATGTAAAACACTGCACCCTAAACGATCAGCTTGGCTGTCAAAGTGTACTTTCCCCACACTCACAGCATTACATGCAGATTCAATATCCATTTATTCTCAGTAATAAAATAAAATCTATCTGCAAGGTGGCTGGCAGGCTTCCACAGCTGCTGATAAGGCAGAATTGTCTTTTGGCACATAACGAGCAGTTGAAGTGAGTCCAGTGCTGCTCCCGGGCTTGTCCAGTGTATCTAGGAAATTACTTGCTCATCATTCATACTGATTGTTTAATCAGAGATTGTCACTTGGCAGATTTACTATAAACAGATGAATTAGAGTTACATGGCAGTTTTATGTGATTGCACAGCAGCGGTAGACAGCAAATTTTCCAATTCAGGCAGTTTGATGACGCTCTTAACCAGTGCAATTAAGAATGAATGCAGCAGTGAGATGAGCTGATATTCCCAAACCAAAATCATTTACAAACACTTCCAGAAAGACACTATTCTGATGTACACAGCAAGGGTTATTGTTTGCAGTTACAACTGAGAGCGACTGTGAAGTAATGTTGACAACGTTGGAAATGAAGTCTGAGAAAAACTGCCATGCCATTATAAAAAGATTGAAGATATTATGTGACCCAATAACAAAGCAAAATCATGTATATATAGCATAGCATTGAAGTAAATATTCAATAATTCAATCTGTGTTTAATATAAAAATCAATTTTAAATTAATTCTAAACTTTAAATTCATGACTCAATGCAACAAAATAAATAAAAAATGTGAGACGTAATATCTGTTAGGCCCCTGAGCTGTTGGCTTTCAGTAACTGTGGCAATTTAGTTGAATAGCCCTGTAATAATGTCACAAAATAAGCTGTATTAAAGCCAGCATTGACCATAACCTACATCTCTCATAATCCATGTCAGTTATTTTACCCACAAAATGACAGTACCCTACCACTAGGTGCACAGGATTAAAAAGTAGCTGGCAGCTGACAAAATTCACAGTGTGAAATTTACATTTAGCTCCATTTATGTCAGCTACTTTTGCTTTGGCCCAGATGAACAGGGAAGTAGGAAATTCCCACTTACAAGTCATAAACTCAAAACTCTTACTTGTATTAGTGGTTCTGGATTATTTATTTCACTTTTAGTCAGTCGTACTTTTCAGTGGTTATAAGAGGACGTGTTAAACACTGTTACTGTTTGTTAGCGGTGCTCAGCCTTAGCAATGAGACGAGGAACGTGACATTTTGTGTTTAGTCAAAGTAAAAAAAAACAACTGGCTGTTTAAGACCCACCATAATGCTCTGTGCATTCACTGATGTTCACTCAGTAAATACATTATCTAACCGAGCACCATTTTACTTTTGTGGACAATACTATCCAGAAAGCTGGCACATCACATCTGTGTGTGTGTGTGTGTGTGTGTGTGTGTGTGTGTGTGTGTGTGTGTGTGTGNGTGTGTGTGTGTGTGTGTGTGTGTGTGTGTGTGTGTGTGTGTGTGTGTGTGTGTGTGTGTAGGGACGATTTTTCAGGAAAACGCAGCCTTGTGGGGACCAAAGCCCGGTCCCCACGACGTCGGAGGCTGATTTTGGGTGAGGGGGTTGGGTTTAAGACCAAGGTGTGAATTGAGTTTAGGTTAGTTTTAGGGTCAGGTTGGTACCTGTGAGGTTAATTTTAGGGTAAGTGGTCAGGGTTAGGATATAAAATTTAAAAAAAAAAAATCACATCACACACATCAGTACCAAACCATTTTCTGTTTAGGCCTCTATTAGAAAAAAAATTAACATTTGCAAAAACACAGAAGTTAGTTTGAAAACACACTGCTGAATTGCATATCTTTATAATGTGGTGATGAGTATTAGATTTTCACTAATTCAGCAACGTTAAGGTGTTTTATAGTCTCATCTGACTTAAGCAAAGACATAAAAACAAACAGCATTTAGTTAGTTAAAGCGTGCTATTATTGCAGAAATACAACTCATCAACAGCAAAAACAGCATTTATCTTTAATCTAAAACTGTGTGCACATACACAACTGTAGGTTTATGGCTAATGCTCTGTTCATTAAGACAGTAGTTAAAGTAGAATATGGCAAAACTACTTTAGTATCTCATTTACATGGTATACTAAGTGCATTCTTTCACCTCGACATCCACAGAAGCTTGAAAGAAGGAAATCAATAGTCCAGCATGTTTCTCTACTTGACATTTTGACACCAAGGGGAAAAAAAGATTAACTATTTGGCACCATTTCATAATTAGACACATAAATAAAAACAATTTGTTGCAAACCTAATTAGAAAAACAACATCAGGCAGACTTGCAGTATGCTTGATGAGGAGCCATTACATCATATCAATCTGTAAATACATGGTTCTCTGCTATAACACAATATAATTTCATACTGACTGCTATTAATGTCAAGATCTGTTTTATATATTTAATATTTGGTATTGTTAAGCTCCTCGTGTCCATCTGTCCATTCCAACTTTAACCAAGACAAAACTATAATAATTAAACACTGTAATGTTCACAGTGTGATGTCTACTAATGATAAAACCAGTATGTCACAATAAAAACTGTCACTTTATCATAGCGCACTTTAAAATAGAAAATGCAAATGAACTGGTGCAATTAATATTATAAACTAAAATGAATCCTTTCATAAATTATTTGACAAAAAAAATCATAGTTTTTTCACGTTTTAACACTGAAAGAGAAGGCTCTTTGTTTTACTAACATAGAGCTCAATTTAAAACAAGATTATTGGACATTAAATCCAACACACAGATACAAACACTTCAGCCTGCACTCTGTTCGTCTGTGTGGTGTTTCTGCTGTAGGACCTTCAGATGTTTCATTTTCAGTTTGCATCAGGTTTTTCTCATTGTTTTTGATAAAAATATCAATGTGCTTTTTTTTTTTCTTGTTTTTTTCCTGCACAAGTGGGAGTTTTTAACACAGAGAGAGAAAGCCAAGGGGAATATAAAAAGAAGAATCAGAAAAACAAACAAAATGAATAAATAATGTAGAGTCTAGACTATGAAGAGCTGCACACGCTGTTTCAATTAGCTTCATTTTAGATCTTTTACATCCATTTTACCTCAAAAAATGTTGTATTTCAGCTCATTTTGTGTGTTTTTTCTTAAATAATCTGCACATAAAAAGAGGAAAAAAAGGCAGTGAGTGAAAAATATTGTGTTTCATCCTACGTTTCCTCTTTAGATGGCATCTTTGGTAGTCTAAACGTGCAAAGTTTGAAATAAAAGACAAAGAAGTGGCACTCCCTTTTTTTCTAAACAAGATAAAATGAGCAAAAATCATGTCGAGTGTCGTCAACAACTGGGAGGCCTGGCTGAAATAAATCACATGTTTTCTTTCTCTTTATTCCTTCCTGAGGAGAGAAGTTTTTAAAATGAGAGCATTCATTTATCAGACATGTCAAAGAACCTGTGTTATATAGACATTTTAGACAATATTTAATTTAAAGAGTCAAATTTGTAATTTATGATGATCCCAGAGTAGCTAATACATTAACTATGATGTTATAATGAAACCTTTTTTTGTTGGTGAACTTGAGTCAAGAGTCTCGGTTGTTACTGCGTCTCCTGAACACACCAAGGACAATTACACACATTGTGGGAGCTGCAACCACGGCAACAGCAGTGACGAGCTGCGAAAAGAGCATAAACAGTGTTAACGAAATATTAAAAGGCTTCAAAACTTTACTGCACCATTATTGTTTGATATTGTTTCATAATGATAGCACAATGCCACTTTGTTACTTCTGTGACAATAGTGTGAATGATAATTTAATATTCATATTCATACACATTTTTAAAAAATATTTATTTTGCAAATAACACTAACCTTAATAGCAGCAGCATAGTCTTTGTGAAACGACTGAAGGAACACATTAAAAAGAGCGAGGCTACAAGGCAGGTATGAATCTGCGTCGTCTGAGTCTCTGCATCTTTAAGAGGAACATAAAGCTTAGTTTTTACAGATTTGCAATAATTCAAACAATGTGGAGATTTTTTTTCTCCACAAGATTTTCGCAAAACTTAATATTTACCCATTAACTCACTTTTTGTACAAAGAACTGAGAAGCACATTCTTGTCCGCAAAGTACAAATCTGACAGGCCGAGTTCGATCAGTACAGGAAGTGGCAGCTTGTGGCCCTCTTCAACTAGCAGGCCGAGGTTGTACCATCCCTTTAAGGTGAGAAGTATAAGTTTTACAGGGAAAAAAATAACATATGCAAATTATTTTAAGTTTTAAAATGAATGCATGGTAAGAAGAAGACCTGTGGATTATTCCTTAATGCTGCCAGTTTGTACATCTGTGCTGCAGAAAACAAATCTTTCTGTTTGCCGTCATACAGCAGGTCACCCATCCTAATAAAGGCTGAGAAACAATGGACATGTGTGTTAAAGTAAAAAAAGTTTTGACATAACTGAAATCAAAGTTAGCACCTCACCATAAGTTTCAGGGTTTGGACTTTGGATTGTGAGGTTGTAATATCTGCTCTCACAGTCTGCTGCATCAGCAGGATCCAGAAAACGTCCCTAGAGCAACAAAATGAAGGATTAATTTCAACAAACCCATGATACTGAGTACAGCAAAGAGAAACAACTGAGCTGTATTTCAAGAACTCACTGTATTTTGCTCACAGAGATATGCAGCATTGAACTGTGCAGGTGCATACCCCGATTCAGCCGCCATCACGTAAAATAACAGTGAACTGAGTCTAAACAACAGATCAAATGTTATTTACTTTTATTATTAACTGTGGGGCTGATAACAAAAATGTAAAGTGTGAACAGAGAAAAACTCACAAGTCACCCTTGAGATAAGAATCCAGTGCTTTGTGTAAGATGCTGCCCAAATATCCATTGTGCTCAGCAGCCCACTTAACCCACCTGCAGTTAGTGAAACAGACACCGTAGCTAAGAGATGAGGAAATATGTGCATGGAGCCACAACAGAAAAAAAAAAAAAAGAAACGAAAGGATGTGTTTCTAACAAAACAGCGTCCGATGGGCGTCTCTCAACAAAGCCGGGTATCCCCGTGGTCCAGATGCTGGCGAGTAGAATCCCCCCTCGGATGTGCCCTCTGTTTGCAGACTTCCAGTAATAACTGTACGCCACATACTGTTGGATAGAAAAAAATATAAATGACTGATTTAAACTCACGTGTTTTGGAATCCTTCTAGAGAAATTTGTTTACCTGATTGGCAGGCTTTCCAGGGTACAGACCCTGAGAGTAAATGGCACCAAGATTCAAAGCGGCGTCAGGCGACTCGAGGAGATCCGCCTGTTCCCACAGCTGCACCGCTTTCTCGTAGTTGTGCTCATACTGCTCATAATACCAGGCCAGGGCATTGAATGCAGGAGCAAAACCCTGTAAAATATGAGGTAGATGGTTATACGTAGTGTGCAAACACTGAAGGGACTTTTGCTGCAGGAAACATACAGCTTTATGTTTTATTACAAATAAATATCCTACAAAAAACATTCAAACCTGCTCCATTGCTTTCTTCAAGAATGTAACACCTTTCTGAACGTCCTTCTCAACACCATGTCCCTGTGAGACAAACACTGTTTCTTAAGAAACAAACTGACGACATGCTAAAAACAGGAGATATTTAGTAGCATTAGAACGTTTATGTTTTTCCTGACCTGCAGAAGTATTATTCCATAGTCGTACATTGATACTGGGTCTTCCAGCTGCATGGCTCCTCTTCTGTAGTGCTTCACAGCCTCCTGGATGTTTGGAGACAATCCTTGTTGACCCCAGAACAGCATCCGGGCAATGGTATGCTGTAAATAGATTTGCTAGATGTTTTACTACAGAAAAATGTTGAAACATTCCCACCTTCTCGTGTATCCAGAGAATAGATTACTGTTGTGAAAATCCTTATTTTACGTAGACAAAAACACGAGATCCAAGAATAAAAGTAGTTTGTGAGATGGTCAACAGGGTTTATTGCAAATGCAAGACACACATCATGTCACACAGGGCAGTGGTACAAAATGTGTGCACTGAGGCAGTTTCAAATACACACATTTATACAGAATGTTATCCAGACAGAAAATAAACATCTCTCTTGGAGCACTAAGTCAGTAAGACTTTTACTGCAGATGAAGAGAAGCAAGAAACTGACTACATCTATAAAAAACATTTTTGAAAAGCTTTGTTAGACACCTCAAACAGCGGAGTGAAAATTCAAGCGAGGTACCTGAGCCTCAGCTGCTCCCCTCTTTGCCTGTAGCGTTAGCCACTGGAAGATGTGATGATCTTCCTTTGTCTGCAGCTTTAGGGTCTCATCATCGGTCAAATACACAGCCTCTACAAACGTCTCAAGTTATCAGAAAAAAGAGTAAGACAAATTAAAGCTGTGTAAGTAAATCCAAATAGCTGGAATATCATATTCATCAGTCTGTATGTTTAATAATAGAGATGAAAATATATCACCGTATTTTAAAAACTTCAACTAAGAAAGGAAAAATCTAGCTGCATGCTGCATTTCAACCAAAATCATCAAAAAGCCATATTGATAAAATTGTGTTGGTGTGTGAAAGTTTTCTCTATAGGCAGAACACGGCACACACACACACACACACACACCTTATAGCAGCCGACATATATTACCTGCTGCGGTGTGGGATTCTGACGGTCTACAATTGTCTGTTGGGCAATATTTGCATAATATGCATAGGCCAGATCATGGTCTGTGGGGAAACCATCCACACCCTGGTGATGCAAGTGCCCAAGATGGAGAAGTGCCAACCGATTGTCCTTCTGAGCAGCCAGCAGGGCAAAGAGTAAAGCCTGGGACAAACCCAAAGTTATGTTACTTTTTTTTTTAAGTTAAGACTGACTCATCAATAAAACTAACCTTAACTGGCTGCTTATGGACTCCCAGGCCAGAGCTGTAGAGCACAGATGCCACGTGCAGAGCTCGGTCGTCAGCCAGGCAGCCAGCTTGGAGCAGCAGTGGTAATATTTTGCTGAGCACTGCACTGTTCACCGCTCTGCTCAGTTGATGAAGTGAGAAGGAGAACAGAGCTCTGCCCACAGCTGTCACATTCACCGCTCGTCCTCCTGCAAGGCAGCAACTGAGATTATTTCACCGGCTCATTGAATGTGTTTAACAATGCAGACACCGAACGTATTGTCTGGTGATTCGTGTCTTACCGTTTTTGAAAACCAGTAACTTGGCCAGCTTAACAGCTAGTTTTCTGACAGGGGCCGTCTCCTCCCATTGCTCGCACTGTGAATACGATGATCTCTCATTTACAATCCATTCATGGAAAACACCAAAACATACCTCTGAAATAAACAAAACACTCTCAATCTTGTTTGCTTCACAAATATTTCCACCCGCATTTGAAAGCTTTACCACCACCTAGTGGACATGGAATGTCATTACCAGACTCTGGTCCTTGTTTTGCCTGCAGTGAAAAGCCACTGATCTTGTCTGTCAGCTCGGAAACAAACTCCTGACACTTGTGAAGCCATCCATTCAGGTTCACCTTTTCAATAACATCTGGAATAACTTCAGGCTGCAGAAGAAGAATCGTCTAATTAAAGTGGCCTGAGCAGTGGGCTGTTTCTATAATTGCACTGTGAAAGTCATTACCATGCTGTCAGGTGATGCTTTGTTGCGATGGTATACCACTGGTCCAAAATAACCTTCCACACCTTGAACATACTTCCCTCCACCAATCACAAAATATCCCTCTGTGTCATCAAACATGGCAGTATGATGTAACCTGTAAAACAAGTTTTGTGTTAATTGGAACATTTATTTATTTATGGTTTTACGGTTATTTTGTTGCATTAAAAGTAGACTTACACATGTTCTGTAAAAACAACTCCGTTTTGCTTTTTATTCACACACATCATGGAAACAGTGGCCTAAACATGGCGACAATGTTATCCTTCTTTTCACCATTCCCATTAGGACAATATTGAATGAGATGCTCTGACAAGGAAAAACAAAAATGCTGACAAGTTGTTACTCACCGTTTTTCCTTGTAACGTGAACGTGAGTTGGCACCACTCTTTTAAAGGCACCGTGAACGTAGAGAGAAACGCAGACGACTCCTCTGCCTCCCCACTTATCTGGATGTGAAGCTGACCTAAAGAAATGAGTTCAACAAGAGGCTGTTCCCAGAAATGTCCAAGTTAAAGCGGCCAGGTTACTTGTACTTCTTTAAACAAGAAAACCTTTAAAGATGAAGTATGTTTCTTTGAACCTTTAATACACATCAAGTAAAAGACAAGGAAATTACATTTAGTTTGTTTTGTCTAACTTCATTGTTTCAAAATGATGTACAGATTGGAAAAAAAGTTGCAAGAGAGGCAAAGAAAATAAAATAAATATTAAGTGCCACTGTTCTGGAAGATATTTTAATCAGTAATTAAGCTGTGGAATGTGAGGGTGTTCTTAAACAACTACATTTTCCCAACAAATATATATATATTTTTTTATTACTAAATCGAGAAGTATTTTATAGCACTGTGAAAAGACTTGGCAGGTCTGTGTAAATTTCAGTAAGTAAAGATCAAAACAAAAATCACTTTTGAACTTGAAACCTTCAAGCTTTCAGTTTTCACTGCATGATAATAAATCATAGTTGTTACCATGTTTGGTGCAGACGCATAAACCTAATTCACCAAACACAATCTGCAGCTGCATCCAGAACTGAAACATAAAACTGTTGGTTCAAGGAGGAAAACATAAATCAATGCAGCAATAAATAAATAGCTTTGGAGTCCTTTAGACACAAGATTTTCTTGTTTGACAAAAAGACAGTGGACATGTGCCACTAGTAAAAGCCTAAAACTGAGTTATTCCCAAACAAAAACATGTGAATATTATGAAGCATGAATTTATTCCATGTTTTTCAATGCATAAACTGAAAATGGCAAAAAAACTTTTTTTAAATAAAGATTTAGTTGCATCTTTAAAAACCTTAGTATTCCCTGAGTTTAATACATTAGTACAGCCAGCTGTACCACTGTACCTCTACATCCACAGGATTTGTGCCTGATTGAAGGAAAATAAAATTGGCTTTTGATAGGTTATCTTTAGGTTTGCTCGTGTGTGTGTGTGTGTGTGTGTGTGAGACGTTTCCATATTTTGTATATATTTAAAATATATTCTACTATAAACTGCTAATATATCTTTACAAATATTTAATTTAGTATACAACTAGTACAAATGGCAGTGTAGAGAAAAGTATGTGGTATAAATATAATTCAACAAGCTAAAATATGAACCACATATATATATATATATATATATACACTAATTAGATGAGTGTACTTGTATAATTTGATAAACTTAAAAAGTTTTTATAACAATATACTTAAAGTATACTTTTTGTAAACTAAAAAAATTACCAGTATAGTCAGAATAAGTACTAAATCAGTAGCTATACTTATCTAGTACACTACAAATAAATGGTGCATAGTGTATTTGATATACTTAAACTTATACTCAAGTAAACTTATTAAAATGAACTTACGGGTGATGATAAAAAAACATAAGAGGTTTCGATTTTACCTGAACTTTTGAGGAAAAGTGATGGCGTGACATAATTATTGTGGGAATCTATATGATGAAAAACACCACACATTCTCTCCTGACAATGTCGGGTCACAAATATCCAAATGGAAATTGTACACCTAGCAGAGACACAGTTGAAAACTCTTAGCTGAGCCTGTATAACATCTGCATTAGGAGAAAGCTTTACTGGAACTGTTCTCATACCATGGAAAAGGGATGGCTTTGAGGCGTAAGAACTCCAGAAGTCCATTCCTGTAGGGCTCCAGCACTTTTGTGATACCAAAACTTTCTCCAGTTGAGGCATAAATTGTGGACAGCAAGTGTACTGTTTCTGAAAGATGTGAAGACTGACAAAATAAAACCTCCAACTTTACTTTGTCATGTGCAGTTTTGAGGTTCTCTCCTCCAACCTTACCTTGCTCAAAAGGACACTGTCTTTTCCAAAAATGTTGAGTTAATTGTAACATTTGTCGACTCCAGGCAAAACAAAGCTGATGTGATTTGAAGGGGCGACTAAAGAGAGGCGTACACTGCAAAGCTGCCACATCCTGAGCGGCAGTAAATACTGTAGCATCGTTCAAACCACTGTATCTGACTGAAGCTCGAAGGATACAACTCAGCACCCAATCAGAGTCTGGAATGATGCCATCTGCTTGGTACACCAACCAATCTGGCAGATTCAGCTTAACAGTCCTGATTACAGGGTCACTTGGGTCACAGCTCCACTCTCTAAGGAGGAAAGTGGAAACCATGCCCGTTTCAAAAGATACAACACAGTCCAGCTGTACTGTAGCAGGTCCATCGCAAGAGTAGAGGACTTTCAGTAGATGGTCTGGCAGAGTCTCATCTGGAGGATTCAGGAGCGTCACCTCATCTAAACACCAAACAACCTGAGACAGAAGACAAGCAGTCACTATAAAAGCAGAAGGGATCAGAGTGTCAGAGAAGAAGATGGGGATAAACACTCTCCTACCTGCACGCTGAGGAACAACTGGCAGATATATTTGTACGAAGTATGGAAATCCATGTTCTGCCGTTTTTATTAAAACGTGCTCAAGCTGCACGCAGCGGAACAAAGATCCTCCAGATCCGGATCAAATCCTGTTCCACCTCAGCTACACTGAATCCCAGGTAAATATTTAACAACACATTTTACAGCTCACAGCTCCGCCCGATTACTACACATGAAGTGTGGACAGAGGAGGCCTGAATTCAAACACTTGATATACATTTATCTGCAGCCCAGGATCTAATTTTATATCACAAGTTTCACATATTCATTGCAGTTTTGCACCTAAAAGGAAAAAGACATTCAATTAAAATCTGCTTCTTTCATTCAAAATAGTTTATTGCTATCATGCAGGAGTGCCATCAAAGTCTAGACCACCACAGATGCAAAATTAGATATTTTCTGTACAAATATACTGCATGTATTCTTAAATATAGGCTCAAAATGAGGAAAAGAAATATTAAGTAAAGGAATTTAGAGCCTAAATTGATCCATTCTTTTAACCCAATATAGGTTTTGTTATGACAGTTGACATGCATCAACATTACACTGTATAGTGGGAGCTGATGGACACACACTTCAACTCACTCGTTCAGATGGCGTTATTGATTTACAGCTGTCGTGCAAAAAGAAAAGAATATTTTCAAAAAGTAGCAGTAGTAAAAGTATCTTTTCAGCTGGCTTTTTTTTTTTTTAAATAAATCATTAAAACATGTCTTCTGCATCCAAACCACCTGATACGCTGAGGTTGGGGACAAACAATGTCATCTGCAGCACTTTTTGGTTGTTCATTTCTCAGGAGCACCCTAAAAAGTACTGGCGTCCCTACTACTTTAGAAAGAGCCTACAACTACCAATGCATAGTTCTGTGTTTAAATAAAGCAACTTACATTAAAACTGGCACAGAATTCTTTGTTGTAATAATCCGAGGAGAGAAATCATCTGTAACAAATGTAAACAGTGTACTTATGATACTGTTACAGAAACAATACCCTTGGATATACAGACTTAACTCTGAATGTATATCACTGTATACATCATGCAGCTCTGTATTCCAAGTAAAAGGGGCTCAAAAATTGAAGACAACAAATACAAAGGCCTCTGAGAAGAAATAGGAATTTGGCACTTTTATACAATTTTTTTTGCTCCTACTGCCTGTTGAGCCAAGTCGTTCATTAAAAGTGAACTTCAGTGGTTAGAACATGAACAGAGCAGATGATTTTTCCTTACAAGTGTAGCCCTTTCCTACGCTATCCCTCAAAGACACTTTACTGAGATTTTACAGTCCACGTAATAAACACGACAAAGAATAGCAGAAGCTTCTTAACCTTTCACCCTGTTCACCTAGGTTATAACGGAAGAAGATACGAGAACTTCTGAGAGCTTATAAGTTCTATTCCCGATGATATAAAGGTCAAGTATATATCATCTGCGTATCCTAACTTCTAAAATCAGTACAGTAGAAGTCTGTTGGCAAAGCTCTGCCAACCGTTAGAAATTATTTTATCAACCTAAATGAATGGTTAAATTTTATGAAGCTAGACGTTTTAGCGAGGTAAACAACAAACACGCTTCATTCTTTCAAGACTGCATACCCTGAACCCTAAATAATAAAAACTTTTAAGTCAAAGGGTTTGATTTGATTGTCCTTTTGTAACATTAGGCAATGTGCTTCTTAGGTGTAGCAGTGAATTCCATTCAGTACCTAGAACTAAGATGTGTTCCACTAGTAACATTTCCAGACAGCCAGGGTAGTTTGAATTGCTAAACTACAGCAGCTTACTTGAACTTTCGTTCTGCCTAAAGCTCCATTGAATGTATCATTAACTGCCAACAAAACAACAAAAGACCAAAGAAGAAGAAGAAAAAAAAGTGCACATCAATATAAACGTAATTTTTGGGGGAACAAAGTGTGCATTCAATTTGATTTTAGGGATAGGTGGTTTGGAAGTAATCAACATAACATCAAGTGTTTTCTTAGCAGGATAATGACAAGAACCGAGCAAACACTAAGAGCATTCGAATATCAGTCGAACAAAAGTGAAGACATGCAAAATGTCATAGACTGAGGAACAAGAAAAGAAAACCCAGAGGAATACATTTCCCTTTCAGACTGGCACGATTTCCTGCAGGAATAAATAATACTTTACATTCCAATGTACAAACCTGCCCACTATACCCTCATTTTCAACACTGAACAAATAAGCTGATAAAGAGAAACCACTGATTGCTCCCATTGTTTGTAGTAGGTGTTGTAACCCACATGATAGTGGCAACAAACTGCCATCATTTGAGTACTGATGAACCCGAAAACCAAAAAAAAAAAAAAACTGAAAAAATAAAGCAACAATGACAGAGCAATTAGCCAAACAGTGACAGCTCTGATAGCCCTTAGTTCAGGTTAATCTTATTTCTTCTGTTTCTTGAAAATCTTGAAGGTGTGTTTCTTGCGGCTGGCAGCGGAATCTGTGTCCTCTCCTGTTGAGCCACTGTCTTCCTCCAGAGGGCTCTTTTTAGAGGACAGCTGCGGGATGCGACTGCTACCTTTTGCACCCATAATTCCCATTTGCCCTCCTGTAGGCGATGGTGTATCCAGGTCCGTGGAGTTAGGACTGAAAGAGCGAGAGGACTCTGACAGACTGTTGACCTCTCCCAGGCTGGGGGACTTCTCTATGGGGTAGATCTCTTTCATGAGTATCGGGCTGCCAGACACAGCCTCTGCGGCACCTCCTTCGTGAACGCGGTTCCCTCCGTTGGGGGTGTAAGCATGCATGGAGACTGTATCATCTGCCCGGTTAGACAACCCATGCACAAGAGAAGTGGGTTTGATTAAGTGGCTTTTGGAACCGAAGGCAGCTAGTCGGTCACCAACTTGTGAAAGAGACAATGAAGAGTCAGACTCTGAGCGATTTAGGTCCCTGTGGGAGAGAAACATAAAGCAAAATGAATTAGTAAATCAAGAGAATTAAACCAAATGTTAAAAAAATAAATAAAAAAACGCAGCCTTGCATGCTTTGGTTTTTTGCACTATGCTTGCAAAGCCACAAAATGCTCAGCACAGGATTGTGGAACACCACACTTGTTATTTTTGAAGGGATCCCTGATTAGTTGTAACATTAGACTTTGTTTGATAAACATATTTTAACTGTAAAATAAAGACTGTGAAAATACAGTAGGCTGTTTAGTTTTTATAATTTTTAAACTAAAAGTTTAAAAATACATTACACGGATGGGGCCATTTTATTTACAAGCAAAGCCTTCTGGGTAAATTATGACGTGGATAGGTCCTCGGTGTGAGGCTACTAGCGAGCTATATCCACCCTGAAGGTTAATCTTGAACAATATCTGACGATTTGCTCTTTTAAATGAAACCAGAGAGCGTTGACAGAGAGAAGGTAGAAATGACTCAGCCTGTAACTGAAAAGATAAATGGAGGACAACAGAGCTGCTTCATGGAAGGTCAGCTTAACCTGTTAGTTTTAGCGTTAACTCAGATGCTATCACCATATATATGTATTAGCTCAGCTCTACACATTCTCCTCTCGTCACTGAGGTCCTCCATCCACATGACAGAGAGGGGAACGCAAAAACGACTCAGTCTGCAACTGAAAATATGGATGGAGGAAACAGAGCTGCTTCATAGAAGAAAAACCTGAGCTTAGCCTGTTAGTTTTAGCGTTAACCCAGACACTATATTGCCTTATATATATTAGCTCAGCGCTACACATTCTCCTCTAGTCACCGAGGTCCTCCATCCACATGACAGAGAGGGGAACGCAAAAACGACTCAGCCTGCAACTGAAAATATGGATGATGGACCTCAGTTTTGCTTGTTTGTCGCGCTAGCGCCAAGCTAATACATATGGCAATTTAGTGTCAGCGCTAGCGTGAAGGCTAGCAGGCTAAGCTGAGGTTCTTCTTCCATGAAGCAGCTCTGTTGTCCTCCATC